TTGGGGCCCCCCCCCAGCCAGTTCTGGGCGACAGTACCCAGCCATGGTATACCGCGGGGCCTCTCGGGGGGCCTCCTGGGGTGCGCGCACCTGCTGGGGGCTGCACCAGCTGCGCTGCGGGTGTCGGGGGGCCCCCCTTGGGGGCCCCTGGCCTGCGCAGCAGCAGCTGCTTCGCGCTGCCTGGCTTGCTTGGGGGCCTCCCGCTGGCCGCGGGCAAAGGCACTGGCTGCTGGCTGCTGGGGGCCCCTCCGACTGGACCCTCGGGGGCCCCCGGGGGCCCCCATGCGGGCCTCCAGCTCCAGCAGCTGCTGAATGAAGCCCACGTTGGGTCTAGCTATGGGGCGGTTGCGGCGAACTGCCAAGTAAGAAGAACGGAAAGTGTGGCCTTCATAAATGATTAAATAGGCCTGCAGCAAGCAGCAATGAAGCCAAAGAAATGAAAAAAAGGGTTAAAAGAAGCAAAAAACACAAAGAAAAACAAAAAACAAATAAATTAAAAGCTGCTGCTGCAACTCACCATGCAAACTGCCACAGAACGCGATATGCCCTTCTCGCAGTGTACAAACACGTTGCAGCCCCTGCAGCACAAACAGAAGCAGCAGGCCGAGCCAGACTAGCCAGCAGCAGCAGCAGCGGCAGCAGCAGTAGCAGCAGCAGCAGTAGCAGCAGCAGCAGCAGTAGCAGCAGCAAATGCGGGGAGAACGAGCACACACAAGGCAGGCATGCATGCGAGCAGCAGGAAGAGCCCAGGGGAAAAGATGCAAGCAGCAGCAAATAAAAAGAAACTAGCAGCAAACAGAGTTTTATCTCTCGCAGCCAGGGAAAAAGATACTAGCAGCAGCAAATAAAAGAGAAAGCAGCAGCAGCAGCAAATGGAGTTTGTCTCTCGCAGCCAAAGTAGAGGTAAGGGGAAGGTGCAGCAGCGAAGGAGGCAGACAAAAGCAGCAACAAGAAGCAACAAGCAGCAGCAGCAGAAGCAGCAACTCGTATGGGGGTGATGAAAGAGTTAAGGAGGAAGAGACTAGGGTCTAGGGCTTCGAACGCCACATTTAGGGTTTAGGGTTTAGGGTTTAGGGTTTGGGAGGCTCACCTCAGCAGTGATTCCCTCACGGCCCCGAGAGACAAATGGTCGAACTGCATGGCCTGCAGCAGTCAAAAGCAGGCAAACTGCAAGCAGCAATCAGCAGCAGCAGCAGCAGCAGCAGCAGCGGCTAGCAGCAGCAGCACCAGAAAGAGGGA